ACACACACACACACACACACACACACACACACACACACACACACACACATCGGCCACTTTATTAGGTGCACCTTGCTAGTTCCACATTGGACCCCCTTTTGCCTTCAGAGCTGCCTTAATCCTTTGTGGCATTCAATATTTCATCCATTCACAATAAAAAATAGCAAAATCCATTAGAAACAAAACCTATAAATTACTGAATGAAAAGAGTGCAGAAAGAAGAAAAAAATCTTGTATGCCCCAAATTAAAAAAAAAATTACTTCAAACAACTTAAACTTAAAAGTATCTAAATTATTAAGTAAAGCATCCAAATTCTCTTATATATACAGTTTTATCATCAGAGTAACAGCAGAAGATCCTAAAAATAAGCTTGCCTCTATGTTTTTGGTTTCCTTCTTTTTATTTTTCTACTTACCACATTAAAGTTATGGATTAATAGAGACATCTAGTGGCCACTTAGTATTACAGCAATTCATTTAGCAAATGTCTCAACCCTTTTAGTGAAACGGTGAGCAGAACACTTAGCTTATGTAGTGAGTTAATTTTTGATGTTTCTGAAGACTGGTTCAGGTCAGAATATTTCAAGGTACTATAATAATTTACTTTTGTTTCTTTTTTCAGTCAACAAAAAACTGTGAATCCTTGGTCTACAAATGGCACAGAGGATACTTCATGTAGATGATGAACAAGAAGGACGATCAGGTTAGGCCAAAACATGTGAGCAGTCAGTGGCTGGAGCATGTTTTCTGACCTCTTTCACTATTTTTTGTATATTGCAGTTTGCTGTCACAATAGTTTACATTCAGTTCCCTGTAATAACAAAGTAAAAACAGAATTTTATAAACATGTAATACATTTCTGGGGCGGAAAAGCTGAATATGTTAATTTGCACAAGTTTTCAGACTTATTAATGTTAACCTGATTGAACTGAACTGAAGCACCTTTAGCAGCAATTGCACCCTTTAAGTCTTTCTGAGTTTGATGCGATTGGATGATTTTCTGCTATTCTTCCATAATAAATCCTCTCAAGTTCAGTCAGGTTAAATGGGGACAATTGTCAAGTCTCTTCAGAGATGTTCAATGGGGTTCAAGTCTGGGCTCTATCCGTGTCACCCAGGGCATTCACAGAGTTGTCCCGAAGCCACAACTGGGTCTTCAAAAGTCACAAGCCAAAATTATACTAAAGGATATTTTGTTATTTTGTGAATTACTCTTTCTATTTTTCACTGCCTCTTTATTTAAAGTTACTCCGTGTACAAGTTCCGCCCTCAGGGTTTGGCTTAATGTGAATGGCCTGAGAGCAGTGTTATATTTATCACACTTGTTATTTCTCTTCGTTATTTTTTTCTGCTCACTGGAGGGCTGGAAAGATGAAAATCGTGCAGAATTTAACTTTATATGCCCTTATTATTTCTGTTGTGCCTGTTTGCATTAACTGCACAAAGCTCAGATCCTGACCTGGCATTAAACTTTACATCTCTAAGCTTAAAATTTCATCAAGATCTTTGTAACAGCATAGTTGACATTTTTTAGAAGACAAAGAGTGGCTTGTTCTAGATACTTATTTAAACTGAATGAGATATATACTGTATGTATATATATATATATATATTTATTTATATTGCATTATCKAGACTCAGCTTTGTTTTGTTCTGTCATTGCAGTCATGGGGATGTTAACAGTGCAGGTTGAGAAAGACCCCAAGACTGGGACCACCATTGTCAAGTCAGTGACCCCCATGTCTTCAACAGCTGGTGTGTCAAAGACCGCTACTGTGTTTGATGACGGCAGGAAGAGCATCCACACCATCAACGCAGATCAACCCTCAACTGAAGAGCTTGATCAGATTCTGAATGCAGTCAGTGGAGTTGGAATGAAAGTGCTGCTGGATGAGGTCACAGTCATGCCAAGCAAAGCAGAAATTAGGACTGAAAATGAAGAAGCTAGTTCAGTTCCAAAGAATAAAGTCTTACCTTTAATCACCCATGATGCTTTGTCAAATAAGCAGTTTGACAGCTCTGGAAGGCTGGAAGGTAAGACGAAGCGAGAAAAATGTGCTGTCAGATACACAGATAWTAAAACTACATTGGTAGTCAGAGACAGTGTAGAAACTGAGGATAACATCGTGGGTAAAAGGCTGYAGGAAGACCCAGTCACACTTTTGTTCCTGGGTTACACTGATGCTACCGCTGACCCCAGTCAAGACGGCCATGAAGGGATGCTCACTGCTGAGCATGTTATTATTACAGAAGAAGGAGAAGAGTTCATACTAACACCTGAAACATCTGAGTCACTTCTATCACCAGTAACACAAGAAGAGGAGAAGAAGACTGGCAGTGAAAGTGTTCAAGGTATCCCTCTGGGTGGAGACAAAGCAGAAGGTTTAGTTCAGAGAGAGGACAAAAAGAAAGGAAAACAGAAGACCTGCCAGTGTTGTTCTGTCATGTGAAAATGACTAAAGAAAGTCATTTTATACCAAACAGTGGTATTTGTACAGCAACTGTTAGTTGACTCCACTATCACCTGACAGCGTTATCAAATGACCCTTTGACACTTTACCAAACCTGCAAATTAAAATCATTTATATTGTTGTTGTTTTTTAAGACCCTAAAAGGAACAACATCAGATTGCTAAATCAGAAAATTTGATTAGGCTTTTTTGCGAGCATCCATTTCAAACTTGCTCAGAACTTTGTGTCTTTTTCAAACAAAGCTACGCAAATTGTATGTACGTGTTTTTTGTAGCATCCAAAAAAAGTCTAAAACAGCCAATGAAGATATTAATTCATAAGTTTAAAATCATAGTTTACCAATTATGTTGTTTCATTTAGACAAATATTTGGCCAACACWGATATTGTGCATTTTTAACCTCATCCAGGTTTTGCACAGCTCAAAATCTCTAAAAGTTACTTTGCATTCTTAATTTACATGAACATATTAAGATGAAAATACTTAACCTGTAACATCTACAGACTGAACGACTGACTGAGCATGTGCCGCTGCACTTAAGCATTACCCAGGCAGAAAATGAAGCCCACCTGCCCACCATGATTTAGACAAGATTTCAGTGATGTAGTTACTGTAGTTACTTTCCGCTGTGTTCCTGTTGAAGACATTCATTCTTGGACATGACTGAAAGGCACAGTGTGTAGGATTTGTTGTTTTCAGCGACTTCTAGTGGTTGAGTGGTTGAATCATCCTCCCTGGTCCTCCCCCCACCCCCACCCCCCGCTTCRAAACGCAAAGGAGTTGCTACGGTGTCTCTCAGGTGTCAAAAACCTTTGATAATTCCAACCGCGATGTCTACCAGCAGCTTCAGGGCTAGTGATGTTTCAAGTGGTAAGATTATGAGCTTTAATAAGTAAAATTATCCCAGCTACAATGACAGACAACAAATATTACATTTATAGTATTACAACTAAAACCGTTTTTGACAACACCACAGCAGTGTGCCCTTCATGAAGATGGCGGTGCAAGATGGCGGCTGCCTGTAGTGGCGACCCGCGACCATGGAGATATAAACAGCTTTTTATAAGGTAAAAATAATAAACCAAGGTCTTTGTCTGCAATGATTAGACATGTTTTTTATTATTGTCATTAGTGATTATCTCAATTTCGGCTAAAAGAATTGACAAAATCCTACACACTGTTCTTTGAAGTGTCATAGTATTAATATATTGATTTTAGAATTGATTGTAGAACATTAAGTTCTCATATGAATAGTATTGATAATTCAGTATTGATCGGTACATCACAACTTTCTAGATCCTTTATTGTGCTCCTGTAAATGCATTGTGGGTCTTTTTAACTGTGTGCTGCTTATCAAACTGAGGACGATTTTTTTTTTGTTCACGTGACATGAAGGACAGCTAAGTGGATCAGACTAATCATTCATATTTCCATTGGAGTTAGAACTACCACACAGACAGAGACTACAGCACTCCCAGGTGGGTTTTTCTATTAACTTTTACAAACTTACTTAGTTTTTAGAAATTGTATCAAATGCTAAATCTTTAAAAAATATATATATTACATAGATTTTTTTATATATTCTCCATGTGTGTACTGTGTGTGTGTGTGTTCCTGGTTTTTATTACCACTTTTGGATCTTTTCTGATAAAATCACCTTCTTGCCAGGACCCGTTGTTCTTAAGTGGCCTAAAGACAGCGTCTCATAAAATAACATTTTATTATTGGTGGAGATGTGAATTGAGTTTAGGTAAGAACTCGGGTCTAACCACACAAATGTTTGAAAATCAATAAAATATTAGAACAAGGACAGAAATGTGTGTGTACGTGTYTGCACGCACATGTGTGTGATTGTTTTTTTATTTAGTGATGGGGTCCACAACCTGGAAGGGCACCAATTTATGGGAATGTCCTGTACTGGTGATTAAATAGGTCACTACAAGAAGAAAGTGATCATTGAGGATTAGGGATGTGATTAGGATTGAGGATAAATTGTGCTGTCTCTCATAAAAGATAAAAATGAAATTTATAATCATTTAAAAAGTTTCACTAATATCTAATCACAATCTTTTATAATTACATACGGTAACTAAGATATTTTATCATTTAAATCTCAATACCCTATAATAACTACTTTGAAAGGAAAGTAAAGTAAACCACTTAAGCACATTGTACTGTTGCTACAGCTTTATTTACTGTGAAGCAATGTTGCTGTTGATAATCCTGAGCTGRAGTGTGACTGCCTTTAAGCCCTTAAATGCAGGTGTAAATATAGACCCACAGGTTAAAATCTGCAGCTCAGTAAACTCAGCTCAGAATGGTGTTTTCAATAATGAAAACATGCAACGAAAGGTAATGAAAGTCAAAATATATAGTGGGTAATAAATGTGTCACTTCAAATGCACAACTTTTGTCCAGTTAAATAAAAATATTTAGAAAAAAAAACATTTCCCTGTCTTCAAAATAAAAATGAGCTTTATGCCAAAAATGGAAGAAGTGTGAATCTTAACAAGTGAACTAGTGACCTGATGAAAGTGTGTGTGGCCAGCCAAGCTGGCTGATACTGTAGACACAGCTTTCCTGTTTTGACAGACAGAGGAAAGCCGATTACGCTTTCTCTTCATCAGCAGAACTGACTGAACCAGGACACAARGAGAGAGAAGACTCAACACAGAAACACATTAGATACTACAACTACAAGAAAGATAATGCAGCTACTGCCTGGAATTCTAGCAACCATCAACTTTTTCTCTGTCACACAACAGTAGAAAGATTTATTATTGCAATAATTTAAGTTGATAAAATGCCAACATTCTGATGRACAACTGTCAACGAAGTGTAATAAGAAACAAAATCAAAATAAATGTTAAAGCTGTTACCAGTGGTTTATTTGGAGTAACCACACACTTGTGTCTGACCCTGTGAAAGGAAGGTAAAAAAAAATCCTCAAAAAACTGTAGTGCAAATCTTTAAAAAAATATGATCATGAGTGGAAAACAATCTTGTTTTCAATCATGTGATGACCACACACAAAATACTGTAGGAGGTACGACAAATACAACAAGATCTTGTTTTGTTGGAGAGAAACCTCTGCGCTCATGTATAATGGAAGTTAAGACTTTGGATGCACTCTGCTTTTTGGGTAGATTGGGAAGAAAACCATGAGTTCATAGCAGTGAGGGACAAACTTTGTAGAAAAAAACATTAAAGCTTTGAATTTGTTGTGTAGGCTGTATAAAAAACTTAAAGACTTGAAAAATGAAGAGTTTGCAATTATTTTTGAAGGTTAAAACAACAAAAATATTTTGTGACATCCTCATCAACTCATTTCATTGTAAAAAAAATAAAAAATATATAAAGCTTAAATAGCAGTATTGTAAAAACTATTTAAAATATAAAACTGTCCATTGAGTTATGTAAAGTCTGACATTTGGTGACCTTTAACTTTAAATGTTTCTAAAATGCCCTAGTCACAGAAATACTTGAAGAGCTGGGTTTCCTACTCTTGTGTTCTCAAAATCCCATTGTTGTGAAACTGAATTTCTTTAGTTTGTCCCACCTTTTTTAAATTAGATTTTTACCTTTTTAAATTTTTATTTTATTTTTTGTCTTCTTAACACTAAAGTAGACAGAAAAAAACAAACACACAAAAGTTCTGATTCTTCATCCACTTGAACCTTTAAATCCATTTTTGCATTAAGTTTTCCAAAGATACGAGAGGAATAGTGAATCAAAAAGCATAACCAAAAGAGTAAATAACAGCAAAGTGTTCATGGATTGGGATCCTTAATTTAGCTTCAAATTGTTTCAGTGCTGTTCAGAAATGTGCACCATATTTTACTGCTGTAACAACAACAAGCACAAGACTTAATCCACACATTTTTTAAAGTTAAGTGTTCAACACCAGCTTGGGGCTGTAGATTTACAGAAATCAACTTCAGTTGTGGACTCATAGTTTTTGCCAACTCCATCAGAAATTCACTTGGAATGAGCATCACTGACAAAAATTGGATCTAAATTTGCTTTGTTTTCAAATTAAAAACCTGTCGGTTTAGACTGTGCCATTCCAAATGAAGCAAAAAATATTGGCTCTAGCTGACAAATGTTTCTATTAATTCTTTTCTCGCGAAGTATTTRCAGTTTGTTTCTATGAATTGATTCGATTTTATGCTTTTTTAGCCATATTGTCATTAGACAAAGGGGATGTGTGAGTTCACTTGTGTGTACAACTTTTTGGCAGCTTAAGTAACTTTTCATGTGTCTTCTATTCAAGCTTAATGGATCTTTATATTGATGAAACACCTTTAAGTGACTCAGGAGCTCATCAGAACTGAAAGAAGAGATCCAACCTTCAAAGACTTGTGTTCCAGAAAAAGGTTTGTCTTTGAATGAAGATGGACTCCGAGAGTGAGATAACATTTCCAAGAAGTTCCTCAAATAGTTTCTTTGAAAGGCTTCCAGATGAAACAGACGCTTCTTCTGCTCTGCCTGCACTGATCCARGATGACGAAAGGTCAGATGATGTCTTCTTTCAACTCAGTCCTTCAGGCTGTGAAGCTCCTTTGCAGCCATTAGAGGGAAGCACAGATGCAACAGCCAGTAATTCTGGTATGACCCTTTCAAATGGAGCAGCTGACGCCTCATGTACTGAAGCTAATCCTCACAGCTTAGACAGGCACCCTGGTGAGAAGCAACTAATGACAGAACAGGACAAGATGGATAAAAGGATGCTCAGTACAACTCAGTCTTCAAGGAAGTCTTTGGACAACAATGACAAAAACTCAACACCTTATCCGGATCAAACATCCATGGATGGCAAAGCTAGTCCAGTGGAAACATCTTATGATAAACCTGGAAAACACCATGAGGATAACAGCTCCGAAGACGAAGACTCAAATGACGGACAAGAAATCATTTTGAGTGAAGAGGAAAACTGGGGGGGAAACCATGAAAACCGAGGAAGCTTCTCACAGCAAATACCTCCAAATGCTGATAGAAACTCTGAAACTGAGACCTGTCTAAACAAGGAGGGTGACAAAACAAATTCTGAGGATGTATGCTTTGATAAAAAGGACTTCAAAATATCAAAAGATCAACTAGACAGTGAAAGTGTTGAGACCAATGCCCCAGCACTGTCTGGTCCTGCAAACGAGGATGCATTTGAATCCCCTGACCCGTCTGTATCTTGCAAATTTAAACAAAATACAGTGGAAGAAGCAACCAGTCAGCTGCATGTGGACAGCTTCTCTGGAGAAGTGACCAGTGCCATCGAGGAGCATGTTGGCAGATCTTTGGATCACAACCTCACATCTGACCACTTAAAGAGAGACAATGGCACTGCACAAACACAAGCAGCACAACTCTTTATCTGCAAAGATTCTGAAGAAATGTCTGAGCAACAAGATGGAAGCTGGAGAATAGCTACTGATATTCATCAAGGYGAGCGACTGCTTCATCGTCTGCAAATGGTACAGCTACGACATGATGAGATCCCAAACATGACCCAGGAAACAGGCAAAGAGGTCAGAGTTGAGGAAGAAGATAGGTTTAAAGAAGGAAGAATGAAGGGAGAGAGTACAACAAGTGAAGAAGAGGAAGAGGAGGGTGAATTAAAAACTGTGAAGGAAGAGGTGGCAAAGACAACCTTGACAGAGGACATGAATGAAGAAAAAGTTCAGACAAAAGCAAGGGCATTTTTGTCCACAATGCCAGAAATCATCCACCTCAACCAAAACAGGGAAGGGGAATCTTTAGATAATCAGAGCAAATGTTCCGCACCATCAGATTTGTCTCTTGACAACATTCATGAAACATCCTGTTCCAAGGTACCTTTTATTTCCACTGGTCACCGATTATCAGCTGCTGAAACATCCAAGGAGAGGCAGATCCATGAGGTAGCCCAGGGTAAGCAGAACTTGCAGAGAACTGAGGGGGTTTTCAACCTTACCGATGATCCAGATGTGCTAGAGATTCCCTTCAAGACAAATCTCTCTCTTGAATCTCTCCTTGCTAATGTTTGCACCAGTCAGCCCAGTCGGTGGCAATTTTCTGAAAAAAAGATGCAGAAAGAAATAAGTCAGGAAATACAAAGAGAACTAGTTCTGGTCAATCAGGGTAAGATCCCAGGAGGCTACAGCAGAGGGGAGGTTCGCCAGTTAAAGGAGACAAAGCAGCTGTTTGAGGCTTTCCAACAAGACAACACAAACGCCCCAACAAGGCACCAGAAACATCCTGCCTCAGTAATGAAAGGTGATGTCTACCCATCTGTCCTGGAGCGCACACACAGCCTTGAGATGTTTTCTCTCAAGACATGCTCTGTCTCAAGAACGCAGTCTCTCAGACTCAACAACTCTGAAACCACTAAAAGTGACAAAAATCTGGAAAATTTCAGATCCAAGAGTCCGACTGGGGGTTCTCGAGAAAAAACACGTTTATCCCCTTACTCTAAACAAGACAAACAACTACGACTCCACAGGAGCATGGACTCAATAAGCGGCGAAGCCTCTATATCTGCCATAAAGACTAGGGACAAAACAAGAGAGGGAAGTCAGGAATCCCCCATTCTCAAACAAAACCCCTTCTTCAAGCTGCGTCCAGCCATGGCCCTGCAACCAGGGGTGGAAAAGGACATCCGGGAGGCCAAGGAAAGAGAAGAAGAGTTGCGAAAACAGAGATGCAAACTATATGGGGAATTCAGACAGAAAAGTGAAGAAGAAGAAGAAAGGTCTCGATGTACACAGACCGTTGGATCAGGTTTGTTGTGTGTTCATGCATTCATCATTTAGTCTTTTAAAAAGTATTACCATAATGTGCACCATGTTTCATACAGCAGTACTTTTAAGTACTTTACTTAAACATTTCATGATGAAAATGAATGATTCTGTTCAAAGGTTCTTTAAAAGTGAAAGCATGACAGAGTCAATTTGATTAGATTGCTTCTACATTCCAACCTTCTTACACGTAGTCTGAGTACTTGGATGCCTTTCCACATTACCATCACAAAGAGTTATCCAAGGATTCTCAACATAAACTTAGTGTCATCCCTGTCACTTGTGGTCAAGGACATGTTAGTCTACACTCAACCTTGAACTGAGTCTGGATGCCAACAGGCTGAGTGACAACATGACCCCAACTATCAGACCTCCAACTTGAGCCAGGAGCAGCTCTGGTCTGTTTATACTGTTAATACTGTTTATTTTTTTCTAATATAAGCTACTTCAGTTAGTTGCAGAGTTTTTGTGGAAGGGTTACAGGACGGTAGTATGGACAATATAGATGAGCCATTTATAGGTTAACGTTAATTACTTTAACCTTATAGCTTAATCTTGTCTGCTTGTTTTTAAATTAAGTTTGCACGTTTAAAAAGATTGTTGCCTAAATTTAAATGTCTCTGTTAAAACAGGGTAACAATGTAACGATCCAGGAGACATGAAGACACACAGACAGCTTTTGTTGTTGAGCTGTAGGATAAAGCTTGTTAGCGCAAAACTTTCATGCATGGTGATTGTTTTTTTTACATTAAGATCTATCACCTGATGTAAGGGTTGCTGGAGTAAAAACTTGCTCCAATTGAGCAGGAGATATTAGATATATGGTTGTAAATGGGACTTTATGAAAATAAACTATTACCACACAAATAAATGCCATAAAATGTTGCTTGGCATTTAAAGTAACACAAAACACATTTTTACAGATTAGACTGCATTTTCCTATATTAAATGCATACAATCTACAATATTTTGAGATGGACTTAAAGTGATGCTTTAGATTTTTTGTAGTGGGGCTCTAAGGAAAGGTGATTAACATTTCTTATGCTAACTTCCAATAGTTTTTTTTGATAAATCTCAGTTTGGAGCAATATTGATTAATTGCAACTAAACTGATAAGCTGAGAATTAGTTCAAATGGAGGCAAAAGCAAAGCTACTTCCCTAGTAATGGTTAATGTAAATATGGTTTTACTAGACTTTTCATGTTAGCTTTGTTGGGGTTATTTGCTAGCACAAATAGTGGCTAGCTAGCTTTAGAACTTTAGATGCAAGCAGGGACAATCTTTCAGAATTATCTCAATATTTTGCCCAAAATAACCATGCATGGTGTGTGACAGCAATGTGAAGTTTTATGAAATAACTTCAGATGAACCACTATGATTATTTTTTAAGATTAGTGTTATTTAAAGACAATAGAAATTTACACTGGTATAGATCCAATGTAGATTAACTTTCATGTACATCACGTATTGTTTGTTCAAAACCTTTTTACAAATCCTCACTTTAAAAGTTAAAACTTTCATTTTAAACCCATTTTAAATATATTTATATACTTACAGTGGACATAAAAGTTTACACACCCCTGTCAATTTTCAGGTTTTTCTGATGTAAAACAATGAGACCAAGCTAGATTGTTTCAGAATGCTTTCTAACTTTAATGTGAGCTATAACCTGTACAAACAAATAATAAAAAAAACAATATTAGATATGCAAAATCAAAGTTTTATTACATATATACAGCGGGTAAAATAAATATTGAACACATCAACATTTTTCTCAGTAAATATATTACTAGAGGTGCTAATGACATGAAATTTTCACCAGATTTCGGTAACAACCCAAGTGATCCATACATACAAAGAAATCAAACCATAAATGTCCAGAAATGAAGTTATTTGTAATAATGTGGAATGGCACAGGGAAAAAGTATTGAACACATGAAGAAAGYGAGGTGTAAAAAGGCATGGAAAGCCAAGACACCAGCTGAACTCTCTCAGTAATTAGAAAGCAAGCCTGCCCCTTGTCAGTGCAAATTAATATCAGCTGGTTCAGTCCCAAATGATGACCAGGTATCACACAAGAACCATCTGAATATGGGTAAAAGTAAAGAGCTCCCTCAAGACCTTCACAACCTTATTGTTGCAAAGCATAATGATGGCATCGGTTACAGAAGAATGTCTAAACTTCTGAAGGTTCCAGTGAGCACTGTTGGGGTCATAATTCAGAAGTGGAAAGAACATTATTTCACCATAAACCGACCACGACCAGGTGCTCCTCYCAAGATTTCTGACAGAGGAGTGAAAAGAATMATCAGAAGAGTTGTCCAAGAGCCAAGGACCACTTGTGGAGAGCTTCAGAAAGACCTGGAATTAGCAGGTACGWTTGTTTCAAAGAAAACAATAAGTAATGCACTGAACCACCATGGCCTGTATGCACGCTCACCACGCAAGACTCCACTGCTGAAGAAACAGCATGTTGAAGCTCCTTTAAAGTTTGCTGCACAACATTTAGACAAGCCTGTGTAATACTGGGAGAATATAGTCTGGTCAGATGAGACCAACATTGAACTGTTTGGATACCAGAATACACATCATGTTTGGAGGTCAAATGGCACTGCACATCAGCCCAAAAACACCATACCAACAGTGAAGTTTGGAGGTGGGAACATCATGGTGTGGGGCTGTTTTTCAGCATATGGTACTGGCAAACTTCAAATAATTGAAGGAAGGATGAGTGGAAAAATGTACAGAGACATTCTTGATAAAAATCTGCTTCCATCTACCAGGATGATGAAGATGAAACATGGCTGGACATTTCAGCAAGACAATGAGCCCAAACACAAAGCCAAGGAAACTCTCAGTTGGTTTCAGAGAAAGAAACTAAAGCTGCTGGAATGGCCCAGCCAATCACCTGACCTGAATCCAACAGAAAATCTATGGAAAGAACTAAAGATCAGAGTTCATAGAAGAGGTCCACGAAACCTTCAAGATTTGAAGACTGTTTGTGTGGAAGAATGGGCCAAAATCACACCTGAGCAATACATGCCACTAGTTTCTCCATTCAGGAGGTGTCTTGAAGCTGTCATTGACAACAAAGGCTTTTGTACAAAGTATTAGATAAATTTCAGTAAGTGTGTTCAATACTTTTTCCCTGTGCCATTCCACATTATTACAAATAACTTCATTTCTGGACATTTATGGTTTGATTTCTTTGTATGTATGGATCATTTGGGTTGTTACCGACATCTGGTGAAAATTTCATGTCATTAGCACCTCCAGCAATATATTTACTGAGAAAAATGGTGACGTGTTCAATACTTATTTTACCCACTGTATTTATTTGTTGTTGTTTCTTTAGATAGAAGGCTACAGTCGAGGGGAAAACTGGAGCGAGTCTGGCCACCACCCTCTAAAAGGGATCAGAAAAAATCTGAACAAACACAGGTAATAACCAGGAGTTAAATCATTCCATGCATTTTTTTAAATTAAATATTTGCATCAGTTATGATCATAAGTTGTATTGTTTTGAAATCCACGAACTGTTGAGTAGACTCAGAGGGACTGCAGGATTCATTTTTAGCTACAAATTTAGTAATAAAATCCATGCTATGTAGTTATAAGTTGTATATAGTTTTGTACCTGCAAAAAAACTAAAATAACTAAAAAAAAGTTATGCTAAAAAAAGTACTATTTGTTTTACAAATGGTTGGATTAGTTCAAGTGATTCTGCTTTCAAACTGAGAGGATCAACAAGCAGTAGCTTATCCCCTCCTTTAAACCCTGGTCTTTTCTCTGTCTTATCTCACAGCAGGAGGTAAAAGTTCACAGAGCAGGAGGTCAGAGGGCTCCTCTGTGGCAGCGCTGGGAGGCCGGCCTGATCAATAAAGCAGCACAGGATGAAAACAAGTGATGCTAGCCGTCCTGGTTATGCAAGACAAAAAACAGAATACTAATTATCTCCAGTGATAGAAGCTCAGTTGAAACAAAATCTGTATTGATGTAAATAAGCTCAGATAAAAACCTCCTATTAGTTCCAATTTAACCATTTCCTGGTTCTTCTAGCACTTCTTCATGTTTGTGTCAAAATATGCTTTGTTTTATACAGTATCTTTTGGCTAGTCTTGTTTGGCAGGTAAATAAAACAAAATATCAAGTGTCATTTTCTCTGTTTTTTTATACAGCTTTATTCAATCAGTATCAGTGAGTGTATTAACCTAAAAAACCTTTATGTTTTGAACAATACACCATGTAATTTTGGAATGTTAGCTGTTTTTGAAATGGATGAACAATTTCATTACATCTATAGATAAATAATGGTTTAGTTGCAGATGAATCATGAGTCTTGAGTCTGATTAAATATATCCTTATGATGTCATTCACAAAAAAATAATGTGAAAGCATGGTTAATAATCATTAAAAGGTTAGTTCAGGAGTACTGCGAAAATGTTAAGCAAATATTACAATTAATATCTTACCTGTTGAAGATAGCTTTTTAAAGGGGACATCATGCAAAAGCTACTTTTGAATTCATTAAATACATTTTATTTTGGACTTGGAGTCTCTAGTAAAGCAAAAAAAATGTAGTCTCTGCTGGTGTTGTGTATCTTTATATTGTGTTTGGGTCATGTTTTTCAACCCATTCGATTTTCTCTATTTTATGATGTTTTCTGAACTGTTATGTGTTTGTGGTGGAACTGCCAAATGAGGTCTATTCTTACCAGCTACAATTTTATTGTCTTCATTCTCCTCTGGCTCTGGGTCAGACTCTGGTTGGACATGTAAGGCTGGATGGACAGGTCTTCTGTTATTGACATATTTTAGTTAATTTGTAAATAAAAAGTTTCTGCGCCACTATATAGTCACAAAATCCTCAATCAAGCTAGACCGCTGGAGAGCCTGATTTGGATTTAAAGAGTTAGTTTCAAAACGAGTTTATCTGAGACACAACTCAGAAAACGTCTGAAAGAGGGGCATGTAGAGRTACAGTAAGGAGGAATTCAGACCAAAACATAGTAGTTTCACTTTATATAGACCCCAGCTGAATGATTTAAATATGAAAAAGAAGGGTTTAAAAGCATGATATCCACTTTAATTGAATTCAGAAATAAATGTAAAGCCTGATAGAACTAATGAGATAATGGTTGGGCTAAGCGGGTCCATTCCCAAAATTATTTTAAACAAACATGGCTCCAATGCTATGGAGCTCAATTGCGGTCATAAGTTTTGTTCAAAAAAATAAATTGAAACTGAAAAATAACTTTGAAACTAAAAAACAATTTTGAAACTGAAAAAAATTTGAAACTGAAAAACAATGTATTAGAATCTGGAAATGTTTTTAAACATCTTGTCTTTTCAGTTTAAACTATTTTTTTTTCAGTTTCATTTAATTTTTTTCAGTTTCAAAATTTTGGCTTCTTCCCCGGGACGTGGAGCCCAGGCTGTCTGTCTGACTCGCTTTGACCGAGGGAGGCACTCGATCTGTTGCATGGGGATCTATCCAAGCTGTAGCTGGCGGTCCAGACATTGATGCTAACAAACAGACAGCAGAGTATTCCGGGTCTGCTCAGACATGTTTCAAACTTTATTCAGCTGTTCTCTGGTGCGATTAACATTTCCTGAAACTATTGTGTGTTTTTATTTCTGTTTGACAATGGGAGAAGGGAATATAAAGTATTTAATCAAAGACGACCAAAATCCAACTATTAAACCAGCCTTGGGATTTGGTTCAAATTTCTGTCAGCCGTAGCTTCCTCAAGGTTTGTCGGCTACTCCAAGGTGGATTTATTTTAGTTATTTAMTTTCATGTTTTAAAGACAAAGAAGCCCTGTGACGGGGATTAGTCTACTCCTCCCTCCCGTCTCCTCTTCTGATGTCCAGGAGGAATGAGAGTAAACATCCGGGAATTGCTGGAGCTCCACGCAACCAGCTCTCAATCTGTCCCTGCCTACAAGGCTCGATCTGCAGCCAACTTTGTCCAAAATGTAGTTCTGGCTTCTTGGGCTCATATCTCAAAAAGTACCAAACAGATTTATATGAAACGTTCTGGAAATYTTTATTACACTTTCAGGAAATATCCAGTACACTACGGAGAACAGAAGATTAAATCTTAAAACATTTCAGAGCCTGAGCGCTTGCATGGTTCCCAAGAACCGCCGGAGAGAACAAGCCATTCGCTACTTTTTGAGATCTAAGCCCTAAAAGGCAATGGGGGGTATTTTGGCTGCAATTGTGCCACAGATCAAGCACTATAGGTGGGAACAGATTCGGAGCAGCTGCTCGGAGCTCTTCTCCAGCGATTCTTAGGAGACGCACAAGCGCTCGGGCTCTGAAATGTTTTAAAATTTAATCTTCTTTTCTCTGTGGTGTATTGAACATTTCCTGAAAGTGTAATAAACATTCCCTGAACGTTTCATATAAATATGTTTGGTACTTTTTGAGATATAAGCCCAAGAAGCAACAGGGACATATTGGCCAAAGTCGGCCGCAGATCAAGCCCTATAGGAGGGTACAACTTCAGAACAGCCGCTCAGAGCACTCCAGCGGTTCTTGGATCAGATTGGAGCAYTGCACACAGTCTGAAATTATTTTAACTTTAATTTGCTGTTCTCTGTGGTGTATCGAACATTTCCTGAAAGTGTAATAAACATTTCCTGAACGTTTCATATAAATCCATTCGGTACTTGAGATATAAGCCCAAGAAGCAACAGGGACATTTTGGCCAAAGTCGGCCGCAGATCGAGCCTTGTAGGCGGGGACGGATTGAGAGCTGGTCACGCGGAGCTCCAGCAATTCCTGGATGTTTACTCTCATTCCTCCTGGACAACAGAAGAGAAGACAGGAGAGGAGGGAGGAGTAGACCCATCGCAGGGCTTCTTTGTCTTTAAAATGTGAAAATAAATAAATAAAATAAATCCACCTTGGAGTACAAACCTTCAGGAAGCTATGGCTGACAGAAGTTTGAACCAAATCCCACGGCTGGTTTAATAGTTGGATTTTGGTTGGCTAAGATTAAATTTATTTCCCTCTCCCATTGTCAAACAGAAATACAAACACACAATAGTTTCAGGAAATATTACTCACATTCACACCAGAGCTGAATAAAGTTTGAAGCATGTCTGAGCAGACCCGGAAAACTCCGCTGTCTGTCTGTTTGCAATGTTTGGAGCSAACCCCGGCTACAGCTTAGATATCCATGCCGCAGATCGAGTGCCTCCCCCGGTCAAAGTGAGTCAGGCAGAGAGCCTGGGCTCTACGTCCCGGGGGAGAAGCCAAACCCACTAAGCCTGAAAGCATATTACGTATCTGAATGCATATTATCAGGTATACAAATGATTGATAAGTGCCTTCCAACCTACTAGGAGGTAAAGGAAGTACAGTCTGCAGACATTTTGGAACTGATAACCTCTAATAACAGACATTTAATGGACTGACAACATTCCACTCCTAGGTGGTGGTTCCTGAATGCAACACCTTGTCCAGTCCGTGTTGAGCTGTCAATCATGATTCCGCACCGCCTGTCATCCAAGGCCCCACCCCCCATGCTAAATCGGGGTCATGAGTCTGAAACTGAAAATAAAATGTTTGAAACTGAAAAAAAAATTGAAACTGAAAAAAAAAATTGAAACTGAAAAGGCAAGATGTTTTTAACTTTTCCGGAGTCTAATACATTGTTTTTCAGTTTCAATTTTTTTTTTTCAATTTCAAAATTGTTTTTCAGTTTCAGTTATTTTTCAGTTTCATTTTTTAAAATTTTTTGAACAAAACCTATGACCCCGATTTAGTTCCAGACAATCCCACCAATTTTACAGCTTTTCATGTAAAGTCTGTTTTGTAAACTGTAACACAAAATGAATTTTACATTACATGTTCTTTACATGAAATTGTAAGGATACTTTTAAAAGACAATAGCATCAACAGCTCTCTTCCAAAACAGATTTGGTTGTTTTCAAACAACTCCTAACTTGTACATTTTATAGGGATCGATGGATAATTTTAAGGGTTTAAAATTCTGTCAGTATCACATACATTGTTTTTCCAGCAAAAAATATTAATGAATCATTGCTACATTGGAAGTGTTACAGTACGGTGGCCTGGAGGTGCAATCTGCTGCTGCTGCTATGAATTATTGTGTGAGAAGTAATATGAAATTGACTGCAATGCAAAGATTTATCCTATAAAATAATGACTAATTGAACCTTTATAATTCTTTGGAAACTGAATATATTTTAAGATGACACCAATCCACTTTGATCTTAGAGGGATTCAGACTAGCCATTAGCTCATCATCTTGTCTGACCTTGATTCCATTGAAGATGTTTCAAATTTATCTGTTTAAGTGTCCACTCAACTACACTCTCCAGCTTTGTTATACAAAATATGGGTATTTATGTTTTAAGGGCTCAAATCATGTCAGATCACAAAAAATAAATAATGTAAACATTGTTGTAGTCAGTATATTTATATTGTTTTCAATATATGGTACATTTTTTTTAATTTGACAGGACTCATGTTCAAAATTGGATAAAAACGTAGAGACTCAACAGAAAAGGAAGTTCATTAAACATGGTTTAGACCTCCTTAAAAAAATTTCTCTCTAGCTGACTTGCTGTCAAGTTTACAATAGTTTCTAATCTCCACAGACAAACTAGTACACAGCTTAGCTCATCTAAGCACCATCTGTCAGGATCACTGACTCTGCCAGGGGAGGACAGACACACTGTCCTTCTGAGTAAATCAGTGTTTTTTGGATGCCCTCCTCACCAACTCATAAACACTATGCAGGGTTTGAGCAAAAGCTGCAGTGTTTAACATTTCAACAGCAAAAAGTTTCTATGTATGATCCTAATTCAGATTCATGCTGCAAAATGTCAGTWTTTGCTTAAAAAGTCACACTAAATTCCATATTTTTGGTTTAGTTGTACTTCAGACATGTTTTATGATTTTTACTGTTTTTGTTTTTAATAGTGTTCAGGCTTGTAAGTATCAGTAGTATTATTCATTTTCATTTCCCAAGTAAACCACAGACAAACACACACCAGCTCTGCTGAGGCCAACATTGATGGAAGCTTATGGACACTTGCCAAAGAGACCAAACCAAAACAGAAAATACTGTGACGTCTTGTATTTTTTATTTGTGGGTTTTAAATTAATGTAATTTTTTAGTTGTGGCATTAACTGAGTTATTTTGTTAATATTGAGTTAATATTTTAATAAACTAGATTTTTTTGTATTTTAACCCTTACATCTCAGTCTTTTTTACAGGAAAAAGACACGTATGCTGGATGTAACCAGCAGTGACATGTTACTGTTGCAGTTGCTATAGATGTTTGTAAATTACTTTGGATTTTTAGATAATTGCGCKAGAATATTTACTTTATTAATCCCCCATAGGTTAAAATTCATTCTCMGCATTTTTCCCATCACATGTGACSACACATGTGGAGCAGAGGGCTGCTACCTAAGTGTCCTCYTGCATCTGAATAATCCAGGTAGAAAAATCTAAAAAGAAACTGAGCTGGTCCTCTGAATGGATTCTTCTTRATTGAAAGGTTTCGTATCCTCTCCCTAACCTAACCTTCAGAGGAGTTGCAGGTAAACTCAGCCTTATTAGCAGTACCTTCGTATCATGAATCAACAAGTTTAAAAATGACAATCAATACTTGGTTTTCACATGCAGAGGATTATCACCTATCATAGAGGGTTACATCAGGGAGGTTGCCAGACACCCAGGGAGCAGCTGTAGGGTTAAGGGCCTTGCTCAGGGGTCCACAGTTAGGCATATAAGGGAGTAGTTTAGGTAGTATGTAAGATAAAATGTGACTGTGTTAAAATGTTAATGCTAAAGCTAGCTAAATGCTGACATAAAATAAGACTGGTTTTTGATTCAAGTTTTTAGTTATATGTTATTGTTGCTACAATTTTACATTCAGCACTAATAAAGAAGCAGGTACAAAGTTCACATCTATCTAAAAAGGAGTTTTGAACTCACAATCAAACCCTACCCTCATTAAACTTTTTCTCTGGTTCCTTCTGTCCATGCAAACAGCTYGTTTAGGTTATCAAATGGTTTGTTGCTGACAAGTGAGTACAAGTTCATGCAAACAAAACCAATGATCACGTTTGATATTTAGTGGAAATATTACATTTTGTTATTAATGTGAACAGGTGATGACAACCCTTTCAACCTCTGCGAAGGAGGGACTTGCAGAGATATGAGAAGTACTGTAGGAGAGGATGGAGGCAAAGATGAAGCACAATGGAGTGGACATCAACATCGACTGTGGCAAAACTGCCACCTGCTGAGGATGAGCAGGAGAGCAACAACCACAGACGCAAGGACACAACTAAAGGTTTACAAAAGGAATGGAGTAAACTGAAAAAGAAAATGTAAGCACTAAATTTTTAGATCAGGAGTATCTGATAAATCAGCATTTGAAAGCATGATGATAAATTGAAGGCAAACACTATCAGGTTTGTACAATATAAAATGTAAATATCACTTTTGAACAATATAATTATCATGTTTATACAACATAACATATTTATACAGAACACTATGAGGTTTGTACAAAATAATTATTAAGTTTATAAAATATAAATATCATTCTTGTACAATATAATTAACATAGCATGTTTATACAGAACACTATGAGGTTTGTACAAAATAATTATTAAGTTTATAAAATATAAATATCATTCTTGTACAATATAATTAACATAGCATGTTTATACAGAACACTATGAGGTTTGTACAAAATAATTATTAAGTTTATAAAATATAAATATCACTTTTGTACAATGTAATTAACATAGCATGTTTATACAGAACACTATGAGGTTTGTACAATATAACTATTAAGTATATATA